TCAACAGGTTCAGCATGATAGATGGGTTCATTTGTGTATGGAATAGTGTGAACCACAGGAGCGACAGTAGTCATCACAGGCTGAGGGAAAGATACCATAGGCTGGATTACAGGTTGCACAGTAGTTGTCTCAGGTTGAGGAAAGGACACAACAGGTTGAATCATGGGTTGCACAGCAGGCTGGTACCCTTCTGGCATGAAATTGTAAGGCATACCCCACGGAAAACCTTTCGGCATTTGATGTTGGAGCGGAGAGTTGACTTGAGCCAAAGATGTTGGAGCAGTGACAATCTCGGAAACCACAGTAGTTGGAGTTTGAATTTCAGCAGCTGAAGTTGATGGCTGATTTTGAGCAGCCATCAAGCTTTCCACAAACGCGGTCAACTTTTCCATTCCAATACAAAGAGTAGTAACCTCTTCGCGAAGCTCATGATATTCCTGCTCCAGATCCTCCATCCTCTTTTGACGATTGGCTCGGGTGTTATACCGGTGAAACAACTTGACAATCTATCGGAGTGGAAAAAGAAACAAGAATAAGACTCTAGAAAACATGTGAAATTGAATGTTGGATGATGCATGATATGCAATGCAAAAGATCATTTATTTAGATAGTTCTTCAAGGAGCTTTAGAACTTTGATAACTTTGCACACATCAATGGTAAAAGAATTTGGAACAACAAAAACTCATTTCGTTAATCAAAGCGGTAAATTACAACTTTGGGACAACAAAACCCATTAATAAAAGCAGTAAATTACAACTTTGGAACATGAAGCCCTTTTACAAAGTTTTACAAAATGACTTAAGTAATAATAAAAAAAACTAGGAACTAAAGGTCACTCAGAATCATCATCGGATGAAGGACCAAATGCCATTTATAACTTGAGCTTCCTAATCTTCTCTTCATAGAAGTCTTCCATCTCTTTCTTCTCGGCTACCAGGTGATCAACGGCCTTCTTCCATGGATTAGGAACAGGAGTAACGCCTACCAAGTCTTCCTTCTTTCTCTTCCTTTCATTAGCATATTTCTTGAGTAATGCGTCCTTTTGATGAAGCTTCTCATCATGATCAATAAACCAACCATCTTGAATAAATAGCATATCCTCCTTCTCCTTCAGCTGTCGAGTCAGGACCCTATTTTCGTATTCAAACATACTATACTTTTCATTTCAAGCATCTCTTTCATACTTCATTCTAGCCAGATTTTCCTGATACTCTCTCATGTTCTCAATAGGGATATCAATAGATTATGATGTAGCAGCAGGGAATAAAGGTTTCTCGGGATTATAAGGCATCTTGGGAGCACAAGCCCTAGCACGAACCCATTGAAGGTAAGGCTCCAAAGAAACAGCACCTTTATGCCCTAACATGTCTCTCCCCTTTCTATGGATGTGGCACCAAGCCCTTTCAATCTCCTCCTTAGCTGATTTGTGATCTTTTCCTTCTTGTATAAAGAAACCACTCACATGAATGTTGTTCGGCTTGTCCCTCACCGGGTATCCAAACTGGTGGCACGCAAGAACAGGATTATAGTTAATTCCTCCCTTCGTACCAAGAAGAGGCACGTTGGGAAAAACACCACAACTATCAATGATCTTCACATCGCAGTAAGCTCGATTATACCATTCTATGTCGGAATGAGTAAGAGCCCTAATTTTTGGCGCCCATCCTGGCTCCTTCTCGAGATCTCATAAAACATCAAACATAAGTAAATGAGAAACATACCACTGGTATAGCAATGATGCACAACAGATAATCATCCCTCCTTGATAGGAGTTTCAAAGATGGATGGAGTAGAAGGTATCTCCTAGAAGCGTAGGGACCGGATTTCCAATCAAGAAGATTCTAATGGCGTTGATATCCACGAACTTATTGATGTTAAGGAAAAAAGACAATCCATAAGAAAGTAAAGCAAAGACATCTTCAAAGGCAACAATATCTTTTATCTCGGTGAAGTGACGAGCTTTCTTCAACAAAAACTGCGCAGGTAAGCCTCGGATTCCCCCCTTAATAGTCATGTTCTCTTCTATCTCCGACTTCCTCAAGTGGGTGATTGTTGCTATCTCGTGAGATTTGGATTCCTCTTCTAAACCAGAGAAAGGAACACAGTCGGTGATTGGCAAACCAAGTATATAGGAGTACTCTTCTAAAGTGGGCATTAACTGGTAATCAAGAAAGGTGAAGCATCAATATAATGGATCATAGATTTGGACCAATGTACTGAGGATGCCTTCCTTCATCTTGCACTTCATGAGAGGGATAATGGATCCATATTTCTTTTGAAACTCCATAGGGTTCTCAATCTGTGGAATCAAACTCTTCAACTCTTCAATTTCAGGCTCCTTAAAACTATGACTCCGAGTGTTTCTTTTTCCAAAATCCATAGTAAGAGTACCTAAGATGTCTGTAAAAATCATTCTTAAGTTCCTTGAAAAACATGTTTTACAAAAAAATGCTTATGGATGTATGGATGAATGATAATGCAACAATTACACATAAGTTCACAAACACGGGGTTCAAAGGTTCAACGCTTCAAGCATGGAGTCAAAGGTAAAGCCCACCCCTAAGGTATGTACTAAAGGTTTAATCACACCTGCAAGACAAGGTTCTAAGAGTTCCCAGAGTCTACATTCCTCCTTCGGATATTACCAATGTCTTGATTACTCAATAATTAGCAATATTCTCAAGAGAAACTCATCCGAGTGTAGCATCGCATGACAAATACTTCCAGATTACTCTGTTATAGTCTCCGCGCTACACCTAAAAGGCCAAGATGGGTTAGGGTTCTACGGTTCTCAGCTTGTCTGGCTCCTAGGTCGAAAGCAATAATGTATTCCTGATTACTCGGTAAATAAATACTACATTCAAAGGGGCTTTCTACTGAGTGGGGGATTTCATGCCTCCTTCTTCGGGATTACTCCCTCAAAGTTAACATGACTATACCACCCGTCCTATTCTTAGGTGTAACTTAGTCCGGGTATAGGACTTGTCCTTTGTAAATATCATTAACACCCAAATAACCACAATATAAACATATAATAAAACAATCAAATAATGATAAAACAGATAAGACAAACTAGGCTTAACCCACTTAGGAATAGACCAGCAAGAGGTCAATCTTTCCCCAGCAGAGTCGCCAATTCTGTAGCGATAAAAAATGTAGCGGGGTAAATCGGAGATCGAGCTATTAATTAACTCGACTCACAAAAGCAAGAGTCACAACCGCGCTTTATTATTTCCAAGGGGAAATGGAAAAGAGCGAAATAAAACCCTAAAATATGCAATGTAAAATAATACTTAAAAGTAATGAAAATATGATGCATTTTGAAAGAAGATCTAGAGTTCGGGGGTTGGTTATGCAATGGGAAGGTATTAGCACCCAGTGCATCTATAGTATCCTATAGGAACCTTTTGAAATATCTGTTTATTAAAATTGTTTGTTTGATTAAAATAGTTCGTTTGGCTAAAAATGGGTGTGGATGAGATTTTGAAGATGCGACGATCTAGTGTCGAAGTTTTGACTTAAAAGGTGTGAGTTTGAAAATTGAATATTAAGTTTGGAAAAAAGAGTAAATAGAAAAAATGAATGAAGGTATTCGCACAATCGTAAGATATATTTTTGATGACATGAAGTCAACAAAATAAAAATATTTCCCTTGGAATTGAGACGGACGAAAGATAAAGATTTAACGATCAAGAATAAAGTTAATTAAAATGACAATTGAACGATTAAATAAATAATGAAAATTGAATTATACTAGCATGCATTTTCAAACAAAAATTAAATAAAATATTAGTTTATAAGCATGTAATTAAATAAACAAAAATTAAATAAAAGATAATTCATTAGCATGTATTGGAATAATTAAATAAATAGAAAAACTAAATAAAGACTAATTTGATAATATATTTTTGTATGTTTTAATGGCAAGAAAAAAATTATATATAAACTAAGTTAATAATTTATTATCAATTATGTTTAATAAAAAAAAGGAATAATGGCCAAAAGAATCAAGAAAAACAGAAAAAAAATTGCCTAACTGAGAGTTGAACCCAGGTCTTTTAAGTTACTACAAACATGCTTTGCCAACTGAAGTGTATTGTTTAACTGTTATTACTACGATTTAATTAATATAAAAGGATGAGTAAGATAGCGGATTGGGCTAGCAGGCCCAATGGGCTGACCCGGTTTTGGAATTGAACAAAAAAAATTGTAACCCTAGACTAAGAGAAAGGCGCAGCTGGTTGTTGTATTGGGAAGGGACAAAAGCAGATTATTATTAGTATTGTCTATACAATCTTATCTCCATATCTCTATGCTTATTTAAAAAAATTAAGACCCTCTCCCTAAAAGAAAATCTTCAACTCTCTATCCTTCACTTTCATATCCCAACGTTGATCTTGTTTTACCCTCCGCCTTTCAGCTCCAAGTACGGTAGCGGCATTGCAGATCCCATTTTACTAAAAAAACTTGTGTATCAGAATGGGGCATGTTAGTTGTATATTGCACATGTTGGTTTCCAGTAGAAGCCAAAAACGAAGGGGCAACGACATGTGGAGAGAGACCGCGAACTGGAGGTTGAACAGGCATATGAGGAGGACTAACAACTTCATCCCTTATAGAAGAAGAAGAATTAGGGATAAAATTAGGAGTTTCAGTAGAGTGAGGTTGTTGAGACATTAAAACTGATATGTTTGCATTCAAAACAACCACTAAGCGATGGAAACAAACAATTTTGGAAAAGTAAATTGCAGTTTCTACCGCGACAGATATGAAGTTTTGAAAATCATGAAAGCGGGGAGATGCCATTCTGTTATGGCTGCCTATAGCGAGTAGTGTAAGGAAGTTGAGATTTACCAACGAAGCTGGATAGAGGTAGCATTTTCGCGGAAGGATGAAAGGACGAGGGAGCTGAGAGTTGAAATCTGACGAAAAAACGTGTGGTGATGTTGTCGGCGTTGAGCATCTATGATAACGACAGAGGGAGGTTGGTATTGCTGTGATGAACAAAGAGGGGTTCGGAGTGATAACAGTTGGTGGTGGTTCTTGGAGCGATGAAGAAGGTTAGGCATTGGGATAGAGAGAAAACAAGGATTGGCGATGGAGAAGGTGATCTGGATTTCTGTCTCGTCTTGTTTTCTTCATTTCAAATCCATCATGATTCAATTTCTCACTTATTTCTGCAGCCTGTGATGCGGCTAAATCTGTGGTAGATTTCATGGTTGCAGCTCGGTTAGTAGCCTGCTGTGCAGTTATAATTTGTTGCATAATCAGTGCTTGCTGGAATTGCATTTGTGGCATGGCAACAGCTCGTTGCATCATCAAAGGAAGAGAGTATGAAGCAAGTGAAGAGTTCGTGGTTGTTTTGGGCGAAAGTGATTTTGACATTTCAAAGGATGCCCCCAACATCAATGTTATTTAATGCCACAGTAGCAGTTGCCTTTTCAGGTTTGAGTATTCTATATTGGCAAAATGCTTTGAATTAGTGATTGTACATTCAAGAATAGTGCCACAGAAACCCAATAGTTATTTAAGCTGTCCCATAGTGAGAAGTGGGCTAAGATTGCTAACTTGAAGAGTTTCTTCAACACATCCTACTTATCAGCTTTATCAGGTGAACCAGAGGAATATTTTGTAGATTGAGCTTGCACCTGAGTTGCATGAGCTTGAAGGACTTGGGCAGCAACTATTGCCTGAGCGATGGCCATTACAGCAGCAGAAGGGAGATCGAAGCAGAAAAGCAGATGGAGGTATGGCAGAGGATTTTATCTTTCTGTTATTTTGTATTTCTCTTACTATTTTTTTTTTGCAGTTGGATGTGAGTGTTGTTTAGGTAGGGGTTTTGGATAAGGTTGAATAAATATATAATTTCTCTAATTTATATTGTTTCTAATATTTTCAAATCTTGTTTATTATTATTATTATTCTAAACATTTCTAATTATCAACACATTGCAGCAACTCAAAAAATACAGCAAAGTGATAAATCAAGCAATCATATGGCATAGAAGTGGTGCAAAGAAGATTCAAATATGTGAATGAGAAAGTTATGCAGAAATAAATAAGGAGGAAGAAAAATACCTATCGGAGCCTCTCCGATGGGGCTTCAAAATGTTTTGTTTTCTCTCCTTGAATTTCTGTATTTTTCTTGTTGAGTTTTGTGTTGCACTTGCTGAATTTTCTATGTGTGGTTCCCTCTGAATTCTTCTCTCCTGTATGTATTTTCTGATTTTTTTTTCTTCCTCTTGATGTTCCTCTTCTGATTTTTTTAGTGTGATTCTTGGGAAAAAAAACTCCTCCTTTTCCTGTTGATAGAGGCCCTTATTTATAGTGAAATATGTGGGGTTTTAGAGGGGGAATAGTAGATATTTGAACTATTTTAGACTCTGTTTTGATGTTTTATGAGACAGCTTTTTAAAGTGTGCATTTTAGTGCAATGTTTGGAGTTTTGTAGACTGGTTTTTGTAGCAGCAAAGGTGCAGATTTTTGTCTTATGGGCTGCATTTTGGACTGTTTTGCAGGGCAGATTAGGACAGCAATTTGGCATGGTTTTTGTAGAAACAAGGTTGGAGAAAATGGACAGCATTATACTCAAGAATTGGACTGTTATTGGATTAAAACAGTGCTGGAAAAAATGGGCAGCATTGGGACTGTTTTGCAGCAAGAATAATAGCTTGATTTTCATGTACAAAATTTGAATTTCTTTTGTAACTTTGTAACAATAAATCCAAGTAAATTGTAACATGAATGGATATGTATTCTTCAATATATTATCAATTCCCTTGTAATTGTAAACAACTTTGAATCTTCATTTGAAATTGAATCTTGATATGTCTTCATGGGAAATAATTGAATAATACTTGAATAAATTATTGAATGATGAATAAATGATAATGCAAGCCTTAGACTTTAATTTTGCATTTTGTAATAGGGATTTAAATAAAACACATGAATTGATTTTGTAATCAAATATCAACCCTCATGTAATTAATCTTGTGATGAACGATTATTTGAATCGAATTTCTTTTTCTAATATCTCCTTAGTAAATGCTTCATGTGTGTTTAAATAACCATAATGTAAATCCATAAAAAAAATCACACAAAATAATCTTGAATAAATATTTCATGCGATAAATGATTATTCTTGAATGAGATCTCTTGGTAGCTCCTCTTCAATTATCGCTTGAATTCAAATAATGAAATTCCAAGTATTCCGAATAAATTCTTCTAGAATGGTTTTGAATTTAATCATCCCATTTTGACAAAATTCACCCCGCGTCATGAGAAAACTTGCTGATGACTTTTGGTCGAAGTGATCGGAAATGACTGGCATAGCTTGGTTTTCTTGTATTTTAAAGCAATGTGAAACACACATAAACCAATGGCAGTAGAACTTCGACTGTTCTTTCTGAAAAATTTCAGAGACACCTGAGACCATCTGTTGGACAGAGTGTGGAAATAAACACGTGATTCTATGAAATTCTTTGATGAACCAGCCTTTGAGAATCAACGATCGACCGCATTTCTGTATCTGCTAAGCTATCTATGGCTAATATTTCTAAATGTACTTTGTTTTCATAACCTAGACTTGAATTTCATAAATCTACTGGAGAAAGTTTAGTAGCTAGTACCTTGCCACGTACTTCGATCAAATATTCCAATCTTTCTTTTCATACTTTATATCCTGAAGCGATCTGAGCCAAATCATTTTCTTCTTGATTCTTTAACCTGGGGATGTGCTTGATATCTACATACTCAAACTTTCAAAGTAACTTATTTTCTATCATGAAGTAAAATATCAAGTTTTATTTTATGCACTTGTACTCTTTAGTAATTTGTTTGATTACTAATTCAGAGTCACCCATTATTTCGACTCTAGTTGCCCCCAATTCTAATAAACTTCAAGTCCTGCTATCAATGCTTCATATTCTTCCTCATTTTTCGAACAAGGGGGTCCTTCTATTTTGTACTTAAGCTTTGTTAGAATTTTATCTGGAAAAATAATTAGAATTCCTATTCCACTTCCTTCCTTATGTGTAGAACCATCAAAGAACAACTTCCAAGGTTCTAACTCCACAAGATTCTAGGATTCTTCGACCGATGCATGGTCGACAATGAAATCAGAGAATACTTGCCCCTTCATTTCTTTTAAAGGCATGAAAGTCAAAGAGTACTCTGTTAGAGCCAATGCCCATTTACCAATTCGACTATGTAAAATTGGTTTAGACAACATATGCTTAATAACATCAAAATATAAGGAAACATAAACATCGAATGGTTTTATATAATATTTCAATTTGGTACATGAGAAGTACAAGCAAATACATAGTTTTTCTATTGTACTATATCTAGTCTTTATGTCATTTAGTACTCTACTTAAGTAGAAAATGGCCCTTTCGACGCCATTTTCATCTTCTTGAGCCAGCATGCTTCCTATAGTTTTATCTGATACAGATATGTATAACCTCATGCACTTGTCTCTTCGAGGAGGCGACAAAATAGGTGAATACACCAAGTACTATTTGATTTTATCGAACTCCTCTTGATGTTCTATGTTCCATGCGAAGTCTCCTTGATCCAACCGCAAGAGTGGAGAGAAGGCTTGAGTTCGACCACTTAGGTTTGATATAAATCTTCGCAAAAAGTTTATCTTTCCCAACAGCGATTGCAACTCTTTCTTTGTCGATGGCTCTTTCGCTTACATTATTGCATTCGTTTTGTTTTGGTTGATTTATATGCCTTTCTTATGGACCACAAAGCCAAGAAAGTCACCAGCCTGCACAAAGAATGCACATTTAAGGGGATTCATTTTCGAGCCATGTTTTCTCATTCTTTCGAATGACTGGCGAAGGTGATCCAAATGACTAGATCCTGATATAAATTTTACTACTATATCATCAATATAGACCTGCATGAAAGTCTCAATGAAATCATGGAATATAGAGTTAATTTCTCTTTGATAAGTTGCCCCAGCATTTTTTAAACCAAATTGCATAACCACCCATTCATAGGTGCCTATTGCCCCAGGGCATCGAAATGTTGTCTTTGGCACATCCTCTTCTCCAATAAAAATCTGATTGTATCCTGAATATCCATCAAGCATACTAAGATATTCGAAACCAGCAGCAGAATCTACTAACATTTCAGCCACAAAATTTAAATCACAAAAGTCTATGCATACTCTAAGAGATCCATTTTTCTTAATTACTGGTATTATATTTGCAATCTATTCGACGTACCTTGTGGTCCGGATGAACTTGCAGCACATAAGTCTTTCGACTTCTTCCTTTATCTTCGAGAGAATATCTGGTGCGAATCTTCTTGACGTCTGCTTGATGGGCTTCTTGCCCTCCTTTATGGGAATCTTCAATTCGACCAGGTCCCTATTCAAACCAGACATTTCTTCATAGTCCCGGGCAAAACAATCTTTGTACTCCTTAAGCAACTGGATCACTTCTTCTATTACTCCTGGACTAAGCTTTGAACTGACATACGTGGTTCTTTTTACAGTCTCATCTCCTAGATCCACTTCTTCAAGAGGGTTATGTGCTAGCATCTTCGCGTTCAACACCACTGGATCCTTCTCGAATCCCAAAGGTCCATCATCGTATATAGTATCCAGCCTTTGGTCTTTTTCTTCGACGAACTTCTCTTTGTCGAGGGGTTTTAGCTTGAAGAACACCCTAGGTGCTTTTGTATGATTTGTTTCTTCATTGGCCTCCATAGCCATAATCTTCACTTCGGCTTCCAAAGCCGATTTTAATCCGTTTTTAGCCAAATAGGCCAAAATCTTTTCAAAGAAGGAGGACTCAGACATGATCACTGTCTTCACCATCCCAGCCTTTAGGCCGTATTCCTGAGAGTCCAAGTGCATCATCTTCTTGCCCCAGAGTCTCCTTATGCCAGCAAAATCCATGCCTTGGATGTAGGGTCAGAAAATACATAGCATTGTTATTTGGCGCATATGCGCTATCTACAGCACTGCAAGGCCCTATGTTGGCCAAATTTCAATCAAAATTTCTTCGATCAAATTGATTCACCTCCTCCATATAATAGCTTTGGTTATCTTCTATGTTTTCTACAATTCCATCTTCTCTCCAAATTTCCACACGCTGGTGCATTTAGGAGGGAACTGCGCCTATTCCATGAATCCACTCATGGCCCAAGAGTAAGTTGTAATTTATCTTGGACGTTATTACCATGAACATAGTTGGTCTTATAATGGTTCCTATAGTGAGATCGACTTGGACTACGCCAAGAGTATGACCAATCATCCCTTCGTGGTTAGATAATACCATATTATGAGGTTTTATATCTGTATCATACATATCTATCCTCTTCAGCGAGAACTGAGGCATCAGGTTGACAGCAACACCCCCATCTACCATCACTTTGTTGATCCCCACTTGTTCAATCTTTCCTCTAATAAATAGAGGCTTCAGGTGATTCTTCATGCCTTGGTCTAGTCTTTCAAAAAATGCATTATGTTCTTCGACTGCTCTGTTAATCATAACATAATAGCACACAGGCTTGTGCTTCTCCATTTCTAATTCATCTGCTTATTCAGAATCTTCTATCTCCATCACTTGGTCATATTCATGCGGTAGTACAGAAACTACATTACAGTTGATACTCAAAGAGGACTCACCATCAGAGTCAAAGTTGGTAGTAAGCATGTCCTCATCATTGGTTGGTTCTTCGTTAGTTGGTTCCTCTATAGACCTTTCAATGGACACCTTTATATTTTTTGGGGAAAAAGCCTCCTTTGTGCTAGGGACTTCTCTTCGACAGGTGCAGCAGACGAAGTCTTATTCGTACTTGATTCCCCTACTTCATTGCTTGTGAGTTCTCTTTGAGACCTCTTGGTCCTCTGGTATCTTCGCCATTGGGACCTTGTCATTGGGTTTTTCCCCTTATAGTTCTCAGACACATAGGCTTGTTGCTTCGTTGACTGGAACTGTCTTCGATATGCCCACACTGATCTGCCACCTTCCTCGAAACTCTTCCATTTCCCTTTGCCTTTTCCTTCCCCCTTGCTTTGACTAAACTTCAACCACTTGTCTGTTGGGATGTTGGTTGGTGGCTTGAAGGTGACTTGTCGATTCACTTTGGGGTGTGGGCTATCTGCCCTTTTCGGAATTCCTTTTGCATTAGTTACATACCTCTCTCTGCTACTCCTTCGATTGTTCCAGCATTGAGCATACGAAATTCTCTCAAATGCTTTAGCTTCCTTTCTATCATAAACAGCACTACGCCATGGGCACATTAAGACTTTTGATCTTGTCTTATGATAGTGAAACAGAAAACCCGTCAAGCTTTATCCCATTTTCGGGTATGGCAGTAACTTTTTATCACTCCTCCAGTTGTTTCCAGCCCTCTCTTGGTACACTTTCTGGTATGTTGCCGCAGCGCCTCGATCATTCATAATGTTGCACCTAGGACACACTAGTCCTTCAGGATTCTTGGTATGACAATGAAAAAGATACTCGACCAAGCTTTATTTTTGGTTCCTAGTTCGCATCCTATCATTCTCCATCTTTAAACGTCTTTCAATCTCCGCCATTTCTGGTGACAGCTGGTTCAGATCCACCATGTTTACCTCAAACTTGGGACCTTCAGTAATCTCAAGCTCTTTGAATTTGACTCTAAGACCCTCAATAGTCTTGGCGT